AGAGAGAGAGAGAGAGAGAGTGAGAAATTGGATAGAATATAGATACATACATAGATATAGCAATAGAGCGAGTCAGCGAAAAACGTACCGCGAAGTAGCAAGACTGTTGTATTAGTGTTTAGCGTATACAGTATCTTAGATCCTTGTATAGTGTTTATTTATTTTTACTTTATATTTTTGCTACTTTTGGGTGTAACTTTACACAATTTTTTTTATTCAATTCATTCAACCTTTATTTAGACAGGTAAATCCCATTGAGCCTCGAGGACTCATTTACAAGAGAGACCTGATTTCAACAAAGAATGATGACGACAATGGACAACAGCGACAACAATAAACAGTTATAAAAAGGCATACAGATAATTTTTTTTTTACAAATAAGACGTCAAAAATAGTAACAAAAAACAGCTAGATTATAAGGCAAATGTAGAAAACTCAAAACAGGAACATGACTGCATTGGTCCCTGCCAGGAGTCCAACAGATTCTTAAAGCCACTTAGAGAGGTCAAGGTCGAGAGCTTCAAATGTTTTTGTAAGATATTCCAGGAAACAGGAGCGGAGTAGGATAAGGCCCTTTTGCCAAGTTCAGTCCAGACTGAGGGAACACTGCAGGTAATAATGTCCTGAGAGCACACGCTGTAGCTGCACTCACGCAGAGACATGTAGGAGGAGATGTATGAAGGCAGCAGACCAAGAAGTGATTTAAAGATGAAAATGTACCAGTGAGAGAGTCTGCGTGAAGTTAATGATGTCCAGTTAACCAGTGAATACAGAGTGCAGTGGTGGGTACGATAATCACAGCCAGTTATGAATCTTAGTGCACCATGATAGACAGCATCCAACATCTGCAGGGTTCTTGTAGGAACGTTCATGTAAATAACGTCACCGTAATCAATGGAGGGAAGAAAGGTCACAGATACAAGGCGTTTCCTAGCATTTAGGGTTAGACAGGATCTGTCTCTGAAAAAGAAACCCAGTTTAACTTTCAGTTTCTTTACCAAGTTTTCCACGTGGAGCTTAAAAGAGAGATGCGAGTCGACCAAGATACCCAAATATTTATAGGAATCAACAAACTCAATGGGGACATCACTTGAGGATAAAATCAGAGGAAGAACTGCTGGGACCGACGTCCTGTTTGGAAAAAAGCATCCCTTTGGTTTTGTCGGCATTTAGGACAATTTTTGAGGTGGAACCAATCAGACTGGATGATGTTAAATGCACATTGCAAAAGCTGGAAAGCCTTATCAACTGTTTTAGCTCGACAATAAACAACTGTGTCATCAGCATAGAAATGTATGGATGCATTAGGGATGATTTTACCAACATTACCTATGTAGATTGTAAAGAGGGTGGGTCCTAAGACTGAGCCTTGAGATACACCATTGTTGACTGTTAAATAACTGGTGGAAGTACCGTTATGTTGAACACATTGCCTCCGGTCTGAGAGATAGTTAAACCAATCAATGGTGTGATCTGAGAAACCAATTTCTAAGAGCTTATGACACAAGATGTTATGATCCACAGCGTCAAAAGTTTTAGACAGGTCTAAGAAAAGTGCAGCACAATAATCCTTTGCATCCAGTGCTTCAACAACGTCATTAAGAATCTTCAGTGAAGCAGTCGTTGTGCTGTGTTGTTCCCTGAAACCAGATTGATGTGGAGGTAAGATGTTAAATGAGTCCAGGAAATTTTTGATTTGAGAGTTTATCAGTTTTTCTAGAATCTTGGCTAAAATGCAGAGTTTAGAGATTGGTCAATAGTTGTTCAGTGAGGTGGGGTCTCCTCCCTTCAGCAAAGGAAGAACAAAGGCTGTTTTCCAAGAGTCTGGAATGGAGTTTTGGCTTATGGAGAGATTGAAGATGTGGGTCACAGGGACTTGATGATATGAGCGGCCAGCCTTAAGAAATAAGGTGGAAGTTCATCTGGTCCTACAGATTTTTTAGGATCAAGACCTTTTAACAGTTTATTGACCTCACTAACTGAGAATGGAGAAAAAGAGAATTTGGTTCCACCTCATGTCCCACATGTGATGTGAATGACAAAGAATCTTGAATCTGGTTCAAAATCTACAAGACATTTGAGAGTGGCCAAAACTATGAGTTGTAATGAAAACACCTTTGAACTGTGAAAGGCACAAAACTCTGATAGGAGCATGTGTAAATTGCTAATGAGAGTTTGGGTATTGACACCCTTTAAACCAGGGGAATCCATTTATCCAAGTCGTCTGACATTTAACAAGAATGTATCGTGTTCACTGTAGGTTTATTAAAAAAATCTTACTCTCTCTCCTTCCATCCATTTTCTTTAACTGCTTTTCCTTTCCAGATCACAGGAAGCTGATGCTTTTTCCAGCAGTCACTGTGTGAGAGGCGGGGGACACCCTGGACAAGTGGCGAGTCCATCACAGGGGCACGGAGCGACAAACAACCATTCACACTCTCAATCACACCTAGGGACAAATTAGAGTTACTAACATGCATGTTTTAGGTTAGTGGGAGGAAACAGGAGTACCTGGAGGAAACCCATGAATGCATGGGGAGAACATGTAAACACAAGCTAGAAAGGCCCTATGACCTTCTCTCCGTGTTTAATTAATTTGATTACTTTTAGTTTTGATCTTAATAAAATGCCTTTGTTTTCACACAATAATAAACAAAATTAAAAAGAAAACCTAAGGCAAGACACCACCATCAAAACTGTTGAGATAAAAAAAGTTTAAGACCAAAATACAGACCAACAGTGTGAAAATGATACTGTCTGCCATCAATGAGCTGCCTATACATCGTTACAAAAGGCGTTTCTATTCTTCAATTCAATTCAGTTCAATTAAATTCAATCAATCAGCTGCCTATACATCGTTACAAAAGGCGTTTCTATTCTCAAATCAATTCAGTTCATTCAATCAATCAATCAGCTGCCTATACATTGTTACAAAAGGTGCTTCTATTTTTCACACCTTGAAAAACGAACGCACTGGAACTTTGCATCTTGTGTACTGGTTTTCAATGTTGCCATAGTTACCTCTTACAGACTAAGATTGTTGTAAATAACTTCAATGTTTTATAACTAATAGATCCATAAAAACAAAACATATTTTAATGTAGTAAAGACTGTGTTGTGATAGTGCATTCCTTCAGCTACAAGTGGGCAGGTTCTGAATTGATGTGCCATCTGGTCAGGATCTGGATCAGAGTCTAGACTTTGAGAGTTGATGGTTCCAATGTTGAGCACAAACTCTAAAAGACAATGCTATGGAAGATCTGTTTATAAACGTACCAAAGATCCAAAACCAACAGTCCAGAAGTGCTCGTTTCGAACCTCCAGAACTCCGTCCAGAGTCGACACCTGATGGAAAGAACAGTCAGCATGAATAAAGACGGATAAAAACACGGTTCTGTTTTGGTAATGAAACACAATTTTACAATAACCTAATAAAAAAACATACAAAGGTGGCTGTACATTTCAAAATCTATTTAATAAGGAAAACAATATAAGAACCCTCAAAAGGTAAATTAGACTATATTAAATCAACAGTGTCCTAAAGGAACTTGACTTCTGGATGAGTCTTTGTTTCTCCTCACCTCTCTGAGAAGTTTGTCAAGTTGACCGATGACATGGGATGGCGTGGTCTGCACACAAGAAAAATAACGATAAGCACACAAGTACCAGATGTGGGTCAACGAGGAACGGGGGTGTTCATCTCACCTGCAGCAGGACTTTCCCACTGTACACGCTCATTGGATACATCGTGCCAAAGGTCATGAGGGCGATGGCGATGGCTGATGCTGTGTCCACGGCGTTGTAGTTACTAAACGCAAACACAGGTTCATGATTCAGTTTTAGCTGAAATCTTCAAGGCCTTTAATATTCTTTTAAAAAATTGAAGCACAATATATAAATAAAGTATTAGAGCCCTTAAATCATTGAATGACAACCCTTTTATCTCTTTGTTTCTGGATTTTCTCAGGAAACATTTCCACATCAGTGCAAATGAAGATAAGCCCCAACCTAAAAATACAGCAACTCTACAGTGTGTCAGTTTTAAGGAGGATTTCTAGGACAGAGAAAATAATCCTTACTTGATCTCTATTAGCATGTAGGTGATGCTAAGGGACAGAGCTCCTGCCAGGTTAATCAGGACGAAAGGGTTCATACGAGGCAGCAGAACACTGCTGAGACCTGGAACGATGCCGCACAAACTGTAGAAACACACAGAGCAACAGGATACAATTCAATTCAGTTAATTTCTATAGCACCAAGTCACAACAGAAGTCATCTCAGGGCACTGAACAGAAACATTCACAAACATTAAAACTCAGTTAGTAACATTAATTATCCAAGGCAGACAGAAACAACAACAAAAATGAACTGGATCAAGACAAATCATCAAGTCTCATTTTAATCACTAAATCAACCCCAAATGACCTCCAGCTTTGAAAAAGAAACTTCGAGTCAAATGATGAAAATGTACGTTCAAAGACATAAAACAGAATAAAATGGGGACCGGTGACTTCATTGGTCACCTCCAGTGACAGGTTCAAAAAAACTACGCTGAGATCTGTAAACAGAAAGCCTACAGCTCCGATACAGTAGAAGTAAATAGAACTGTGTGGGGACTGAAGTCCTGCAGCAGTGAGAGATGAACTGGGTAAAAGACGATAAAAATGTCCACTTTCACCGAAACAAGTAAAGGGATAACACTAACCATCTGAAAGAAGTAAATCATTGACAATGCAGATTGGACAATATTTGGTCAATAAATAAGGGACAAAACAAAATAATTACCAAACTCTCTTACCTCAATACAGTAACTGACTAATAACAATTGTAATAAGCAATAAAGTAAATTTCAACATTCAGTCTAATAAATCATTTATAACATGTAGTTTGGCCCAAACAACAATTCATAACACAAAATCCCTGAAAATCCCAAAGATGTCAGATTTAATTTTTCTACAAATACACAAATTAAACATTACATCTCTTCCCATAAGCACTGGAAAACTTAAGACATGCTTTTCTTTTACAAACATTTTTCAAACAAAAAATTGAATGAAGGTACAACTGTGAGTTGCAGCTTTGATTTCATTTCAGACTGTTTGAATTATGTGCATTCTGCAACCTGCATCACATTAAATGCTCAAACCCACACAGAGAGAACACAATTATAAACTTGTGTGCATTTCCGTTTATTGTAATTGGGACCAGTGCCTTCTTTATAACTCCATCTATCTCAGGATGCTGTTCATTATTTTTGTCCATCCACAGAATCGCCCCCAGTGCAGCACCAGTGGAACTGGTAATGGTTTGGCATTTTGTTGGAAGGCACTTCAGCAGAAAACAAAGCTTTAATTAGATCTGACAACATGATGTGTGACACAAAGATGTAAGAGCATATGTAGCATCACGTGTTAAGAGGATGTTTTGGTGACAGCAGTGTGATATAGATGTCCAAGCTGATTTAATCCCAAAGACGTGACTGCTGTTGGTTTAATTGATTCAGGAAGCACATCTATAACTTGTCTGACATGAAACAAGATCAAGTAGATTTAACACATTTTTTAAAAACCCAACAAAAAACATTTTGAAATTTAATACAGTTATGAGCTCAAACATACAACGGTCCTAAAAGGGTGTTTAAAACAAATAAAAAAACAAACTTAACAATTAAGAATAAACACTTTATCTATAATACAATAATATTTATCAATAATTTTTATATAATTTCCTTCTGGGATTAATAAAGTATTTTTGAATTTGAATTGAATTCATTCTTATTTTTAGAAATGTAGTCCTTACAAAACTGAGAGGGGCTAAGTACATACAACTTGAGAATCATCATTCTGTTTAAAGGATGCACTGTCACATGTCCGATTTTCATAAAGTGTTTGCAGAAGTGTCTTTTGGATTGAGGAATACAGCAGGGATGGTAATGTTTATGATAGGGAGAGCATCTTATACAACGTATAAAGGTTTTGGACTCCAGACATCCAGAGTCAGACACACTGGAAACCTCCTCAGAAGGGATCAGCCAACAATGTAGTCACTCTGTCCATGCAACACTGCAAGAAGAAAGGCACATTCACGAAACAAAGTCTGCAGCCAATCTGCAGCTTGTTGGTCCCACTTCACACTGGATGATAGAGTATATTACCTTTGAATTGAATTCAAAATCTTACTTCTAACCTACAAAGCTCTCAACAACCTAGCACAATCATATATTCGAAATCTTATTGTTCCATATTTTCCCAACAGAGCACTTCGCTCTCAGACTGCGGCTTACATGCGATTCCTAGAGTTTCCAAAAGCAGAATGGGAGGAAGCTTTTCAGTTATCAGGCTCCTCTCTTGTGGAACCAACTTCCAGTTTCTATCCATAAGGCTGACACATTGCCCAGTTTTAAGACTGGGCAACAACTGGTCCAGAATGCAGCAGCCCGATTTTTAACCAGTACAGGCAAAATAGAGCACATTACACCAGTTTTGGCCTCACTGCACTGGTTACCGGTTCACTTTCGAATCCAGTTCAAAATACTACTGTATGTCTACAAATCACTGAAAAGTGTCCCCCCCCCCCCCCCCCCATTTCTCTGATTTGCTACAACCATATGTCCCACCACGCTCCCTGAGGTCAGCGGACCAGTTGCTCCTCACAGTTCCAGGAACTCGTCTTAAGCGCAGAGGTGACAGGGCCTTCTCTGTAGCAGGACCAAGACTCTGGAACGAGTTACCTCTGTTTGTCAGACAGGCCCCCTCCCTCTCGGTTTTCAAGTCCCATTTAAAAACACACTACTATTCAATAGCTTTCAACACAAGAGGATCTGTGTTTTGATCTTGTACGCTCCACACTGGTTTGTCGTCATTATCTGCATTGTTTTTTGTCTATATTCTGATTTACCTCATTTTGTATTTTTCTTTGTGTGTTACCTGTTGTTTTGTCTGTACAGCACTTTGGTTGGCCTTGTTGCTGTTTTAAGTGCTTTATAAATAAAGTGGTATGGTATGGTATGGTAAGACTTTTTTTTTTTTATCACTTCTATAGTTAGGGTTGGCTTGTTATGCTGCCTTAAGCTTAGACTACTAGAGGACCAATTGACCTAATTTCCTTTAACGATTTGCTAAAATTGAATAGTTTTCATTTGATACTATTTCTTTCTTAACATGTGATTCTTGACCTGCCATTGTGTATCTGTTCCTCCTTCCTGTTTCTCTCAAACCCAGCCGGTCAAAGCAGATTGCCACTTGTCCTGAGTCTAGTTCTGCTTAAGATTTCTTCCTCATAAGGGAGTTTTTCCTTTCCACTGTCGCCTGCATGCTTGCTCAAGATGAAGAGTTCTGCGATGGAGTTAAATTCAGAGCAGTCTGCTCCTCGGATAAATAATGTTAAATTATTATTTTTATATATGAAGATTTTTATTCAGTGCCCTGAGATGACTTTTGTTGTGACTTGGCGCTATATAAATAAACTGAATTGAATTGTATATGTAAATGAGTACTGTGCTAGCATGGCATCATTATTCAGAATGAAGCTGCTTCCTGACATGGTCTGTAAAGTTAAGTCAGGGTGGGGTCTAAGGCATGGGGTCATTATGGGTACAGATGGTAGCACTAAAGGTGCAGGAGAGAATCCAAGTAATGGAAAGTAAAGGAAGTTAAAAACGATTTGGTGTGTATTAAAAGCTTAGTAGCATAATTTATGCATCACACTGAAAGAGTTTTACAATTTAGCTCCATTTCAGCAACAGTAATAAATTGTCATCTCTTTGCACAGTTGTCATTCTGTGTCAAGGGGACCTTAATGCAGAGCAACAAGCTGAAAAACATTCTGATGAATGCTCAAAAATCCAGGTAGATAAATCCAACAAGGTTGAGTCAGGTCCTTTGGACAGAGGTTTTGTAAACAAGTGAAAGAAAAACAGACCCTTTTGGTATAAATGAGAAGTTTGGAGGGACAAGTCTGTGCTTATGTATATGAATCTGCTCTCATCAGTGAAGCATAAGGCTCTTTCACAAAATGCGTCAGTCCAGGACTAACGTATTCTGGCCACCTTGGTGTCTTCTGGGCTGAGCCAGCGAGGGGGGGTCAAAGACAGCTCACATCTGGTGTGCCACTGAGCAAGGTAGTAGCAGACCCAGAGTAGCTGACATGAAAAAGCACGCTGCGGTGCCACATCTCAATAACGTGATGAACTGAGGACAACAGCGTGCGACTGCCTGCTAAAAAAACGACAGATTTATTACAGAGGGAATATCGATGATGCACAGCAACATTTTAGATAGTTTAAAAAATAGTTAACAACAAATATTATCACTAAAGTGAGTTATTGTAAATAACACAAAACGGATGTCCATCACACATTTATTACGATGCGTTCCACAACAACACAGCTGAGTTCTGCTGAACGTCCCCTTGAGAATACGCACTGCCTGCGTCATTTCTAAAATCTCACTTCGGTGCCGGAAGTAAGCGGCTCCATCTGTGACTTATGAACGGTCACAGAGAGCTTAAAGAACTGGTCTTTGCAGCCATTTCACTGAAGTGTTTTATGAAAGACCCACATGGTAAAGTTGTCGTGGTTTGGGCCTGTTCATTTAAAATGATAAACTCCTAAATAAAGTGTCAGGAAGCATTCATGGTAGAACAAAATAACTTCATCTTAAACTCCTTAAAGCTCATGACAGTCAAGCATGGTGGAAGAAGGCTAATGTTCTGGGTTTGTTTTGCAGCCATAGGACCCGAGATGTTTGCAGTTTTTTTGGAGTCAGCCATGAACAAATTTGAAGACCAAAGAATTATAGATTCAAATGTGAAGGTATCTGTCCAACAGATGAAGCTTGGACCAAACTGGGTTATGATGCAACAGAACTATGACAGAACAACAGATTAAAAAAAAAAGGTTATTAGTCAAGGTGGTTCAGTCGAAGTCCAAATTTTAATCTGATTGAAATGCTGTGTGAAATGCCTCAACAGAGCTGAGGAGAAACAAACGTCTGCAAACCTCAATTAACTGAAGATGTGCAAAAGGTACAAAGTACTTTATTTGCCATTTGTGCATAAAACCAACAATGCAGGCACACTGGCATTCTTGACGTGTTGGGACATCAACTAGAAAAGCAACGATCAAAGAAATGCTGATATTTCAAGTTTTTATCTTTTACTAATCAACAACTGATAAAAGTGGTAAAATGTCAAGTATTGC